CGCACTCGTCACCGCCAGGCACCCGCCGCGAGGGTTACGCTGCAAAGGAGCATAAAAACGGGAATAAAGATAGAATTTTTGTCTGTCTCAGAATTTTTGCCTCAGAAAGAGACAATTTGCAAGCGACGCTCTGTGCTTTACTTCCAGCTGTCAACGTGACGGCAGCAGTCGTGGCAATAATCAAGGCAGCGCTAAGGCACGGCCTCTCCCGCTCCCCTCAGAGAGCCCCAGCTATCCCCCCAGCAGCACACGCACCGCCATTCCTCCTCTGCACGGGCCTTGACAAACACCACACCACAGAGAAGATGTATTGGAGTCCAAACTTGACTGGGAAAAAAGTGCATAAACTGCGTCTGAACTAAACCACCTGGTATTACTTGACCATACTCGAAAGCCTGCTGCTCCCTTCCACGCCGGGAAGCCGCCACCAGTTAACTCCGGGAATGCTCTGGCCCTGACTGGGAAGGGGTGGAAGTGCTAGAAGAACATCAACCACACTAACACCGAGCAAAGCACGCCGAGACGGTGAAAAGGTATGTGCTGTATTAAGGACAGGGAAATGAGCAGGCCTGTGTGCTTGCTCGTAATGTAACAAGCGGACAAATAAGGCAGCGGGAGGGTTGGAAACCGTTCTCTGGCATTTCTTAACGACTTCAGCTCAGCAGCAGAACATGCTGGAATCGGTGCTTGTAAGATACCCTGAAAAATCACATACTGAATGTGCCACTATTTTAATGAACGAAAACAAGATCGTATTTGCAAGGAAATGACTTACTAAAACACTGCCTGAACAATAAAATAAATGTATTCTAGCAATATTTACACAATTCAGAATTTACATAGACAAGTAAACTCTGGCTAACCTGTCATTACCTTATAATTACATGCAGCAAAATGCTGAAATGTCTTGTGCAAGTAAGGTGTTATGTAAATACCAGAATACAAAATGGTTTTAAAGGGAATTGCTAATTTAAAAACTACTTTCACGTCTGTTTCATTAGCAGATTAGGTTAACAGTAACATCTAAGACTACTGAAATGAAATGTGTTTATACGCATTCCAGTTGCGTTCATGGGTAAACACTGTAACTGCGATGCAGCTGTTTCAAGTCCCAGCACGATGGTACAATCTTCATTCATTGCTTGGGGGAGCATGAAGAGGGAGGAAAGCAAATTTATGTGCTCTTCCTCATCACTTAGCTCTAGACATTAATGAGTAACATGAGCAGAGCTCCTATACTCAAAGCTAGGGAGGAGGCAAGGGAAGGCTGCACAACCTGATCACTCATGACACAAATGCCAGGTCACTGGGACCGTGTTTTGTAAAACTAACATACAACCATTGGAAGAACTACTACTGGCAAGGATTCCTGCCAAAAATTTGCTTACAATGAACTTTCCACAAACTTTCACATAAACTAATTGCAAATAATTGCTGATAAAAACAAGTGAACTCCAGTTTTTCTTCCAACTAAACCTTAAAATAAAAATTGGTTTATGTCTAAATGCATATGAAGAAATTCAGCTTCTTCTAGCGAGGACAGCATCTCATCAAATGAATAGTTCCAGGCTCATTAGATGCAATGTATTCCTTCGATTTATTCCACATATACCGGTAGTATCATAAATATTTGCAATCACTTCACATGGAATAACATTTTAAGTATCTCCCAGACAATTCCAACTAGACATCTGGGAGTTAAATCTTTGCAACATCATTTTTGAGAAAAATGAAATGATGTGAATCTCACTACAATGAATCACTCAAACATACTGCAGCTCCAAAAGCTCTCTGTGACAAAATACTTAACCACCGCCATTGCTTAACAATGTTTTCTTTAAAGATTTATTCATTAACCTTCCTCTGATACTTCAGACTTCGAGAACTATAACCTACCTGGTAAAGATGGATAGAATTCTTGAGTAACAGACGGAGTAGACCATCTTTTTGTTTTGTTCACTTAATGCCCTTTAAAAATTCTACTGTTGTACTATGGGTTTGTGTGTTGGGTTTTGGGGGGTGTGGTTTGGTTTAGGGGTTGCTTGTTTGTTTGGCAGTATTTTGTTGTTTGTGGATTTTTTTTAAAGAACTTCACCATCAGCATTTAAATTTAATATTATTCTTTCATTTCATTCTTTCCCAATACAGCCCTCTTTAAGGATCAACTCTACGAAGATCTTGTTGAGAAAAGTAGTGAAGCGGAAGAGCAGCGATGGCAGTTCTGCCATTTTATTGCCACAGTAACTGTGTGTTACTGGATTAGGATTCTTCAGAACATGGCCAGAAGTTCAATGCTTACAGAACCTAACAGATCCATTAGGCAACTTTAAATGTCTTTACAATATCGATTACAATCTAATAATTCATATACAGACCAGTCTTCAGAAAGAGGAAGAAATGGCTCCTGAAACACTGTACATCAGTGCAAAAGAAAAGAGACTGAGGCTGCATTTTTATTAATACAGATATAGATATATATATATAGCTATTACTATAATACAAGATCTCCTGAGTGTGCACATTGGGAAGAGGACAGCAAGAAAATCAAACCAAACAAAAATCCCATCACCTCATTTTTCAGTTAGCAACTTTTTTATATCCTCATTTTAAAGTATCTGCAGACATGAAAATCAGGAGCAGTCACACAAAGAAAAAGTAGGTATCTTGACAAGAACTAAATTAGTCTGTTTCAAACTTATGCTGAGTACTTAATCGAAAAATGCAGTTTCATACTTCTGCCACATTACTGGCTGAAACTTTCGGGTTCACAGGCTTGAAAAGTAGTTACAAAAAAAAAAAACAAACCAAAAACAAAACAAAAAAAAAAACCCGCAAAACCCCAAAACACAAAAAACCCCAACACAGCACTACACACACATGCCCATACTGCACTTTTAAAGTTGCTGTCAGTCAATTTAAGTGAGGCAATAGCTAAACGTGTGGTCCCAGTTGAGGCTCCTTTTCTGGACCTGCATTTCCACTACAAGCACTAGCACCCATACAGCCACAGAAGAAGGTGGGCCGTTAAAGCAACCCAGTTAAAATCTAGCTTGGCAGGCACGGTGTCCGTGTTTTCAGCACATCAGCTTCTCGATCCAGTTTACTGTGTGGCCGCAAGACTCACTGCCAGCACAAAGGAGGGAAGAGGTAGCCAAAAAAAAAAAAAAAAAAAAAAAAAAAAACCCAAACTATTTCTTACAACAGGAATACCATTTACTCTTAAGGACTGGACTATAAGATGTTCTAAATATACATAATCGGGGGGAAAAAAAAAAATGATCCATACCCTTACCTTTCCGCGTGTTCTCTGTCACATCTACACCAAACTGGATGATGTCACCTGACATAATTTCACATGGTGGGCTTTCCTCAGATCCTCTACTCAGTCTCTGACTATTAATAAAGGTACCATTACTACTTTTAGTGTCTTGAAGGTAGAACTGTAAAAACAAACAAAAAGAAGAGTAAAGCATCTGGAAAACAAAAGTACAATGAAACTTAAGCTCCCAGTAAAATGTTATTTGCTATAAAATATAGCTTGACTTCCCAGTGTAGAACAAATGTATCAAACTGAAACCACTCTCCTCAGGATGCAACACCTTCACATTATCGACAAATATTTGTATTTCATTTTTAGTTTTGCAACATACGATTCAATTCTAGCACATACACTATGCAAACAATTGCTACAAACTGTACTTAACGCACTGCCTGCATGGAAAGGACCAGACACTGTTAGCAACAATACTTTCTGTCACACGTACATAAGAATTTATATTTATATTGGTCAACACAAAAATTCTAACTGTTCATACATTTAAGGTACTGGTATTGATGACAAAAATATACTGTAGGGAAGACGAGCACTGAGGGCACAAGGAAAAGCTCTGGCAAAAGACAGAATTAAGGAACTGTAAAATGAGACCATGGTGAAACTAAGGAAAACAACACTAGGATGTTTCTACCTCTCAGGGATACTAGTTCACACCATTAATTTAATCTCAAGATTGCTGCATCATCAAGTACCTTTGTAAATACCTATTTGTAGAGTTAATTAAATTTTAATAGCAACTCACTGAATCAGAAACTGCTTATGACACAAGACTACTAGTCAAAACTGCTGCATCTGAGAAGAGGTTACAAGTGAGTCACCTGGCAGAAGACCAGAGTCACTGGCTGAGACCTGATCAGCAGACAGCATGAAAGAGAGGACTGGAATGTTACTTACCGGCCAGGTGTAACTACTGAAATGAGTCACTTTCAGTAGTTCAAGATGACAATAGTTATTAAGGAACCTGATGGGATGGTAGAAATCCCTGCCTTCCTGCATGCATAACGAATCTTACCAGCTCCCAAAGCAAGCATAAGGCTGCGGGAGGGATGTTACTTTCACAGAAATGAATGTATTGCCATGTTTCTCCTATAAAAGCAACTGGCAATTTTTTTCAGGATTCCGTGCAAAGTTTTCCATGCTTTTACTTGCCTCTATTATCACATGGCTCAAAAAAAAAAAAAAAAAGTGATATATAGCACAACATAATAGTGTCAAGGGAAAAGGTAGGTTTAAAATGGAATGAGACATGAGCACTAGGACTCTTCAGATCTCATACTGTAAAATTACACCAAGCATATGATGTGTATCTTATGCGCTCGCCTCAAGTAGCACAAAGCAGCACCCCTAACCTGGGGGCTTAAGTGCCACTGGGTCCAGAAGATGGGACTCAATACAGTAATCAAGGGGAATGCCAACAGAGGAAAGCTCAGCTAGGTCTATGGAGTGACAGAATGAAAAGCAGCACATCAAAGATTTTCTTCCAACAAATATGCCTTTGATCTTAAAGAAAAAGAAAATAATAATCAACTGGTTGAATGTTCATAAAGATGAAGGTAAACACAAATTATGGAGAGATCAAGAAATTATGGCTGCATTCATTGCATTAACAATCAGACCTACCCTACTCTAAATAATACTCTGTATATAATGAAACACTATATATTAATATATAATAATATAATAGTATATAATATAGCTTTTATAACAGTTACAAGTTTAAAAGCCAATCACGTTAATCAGCGTGTTAATTTACTAATCTGAAAGTACTGAACCCTCTCATGGCTCAGTGCGGAGATTTTTTTTTTTAACTTCCTGTTTGTTTTTAATCAGCCTTCTGCTCCATTTGAAAATCTTTGTTATGAAAAAGTGACTTGACAAGCAAGGAGAAACAAACATGCTTGTGCTTATTTGTTTCTCCCCACCCTTCTCTTTCCTATGCATAATACCTGCCTTCTATCCTTCTAACTTATTGATTAATCACTTCCCGTCGTAAACACGCTTTGGCAGAATCCGTAGATGGGGCACAGACAAGACAGCACAGGGAAATACAAGAGAGTGACCCCAGGAAAGGAAGTGCAACAGGGCATCAGCAACACAAAGCTTACAAAAATACCACTGGACTCTCAAAATTCAAACTGAAAAAAAAAAAAATCTGTAAACAAATGGCCATAGAAAATACACATTAAATTTAATTAAACTGATGTCCTGCACTGAACTGTAACTGCATGCTACTGAATTTCACTACGTAAATTTAGGAAAAGTGATGCTCTTGAAGCCTTTACAAAACAGGATTAAAAGATCCTCCTGCATCTAGTAAAGAAATAAATAGTCCCAGCAATATGTTCATAAGCTGATGTTTCAGTAGAAAAGCACTGACTTCAAGACTTAGCAAAAAGGATTCAGTCATCTTGTCTTTAACGTAGAAATTGGGCAGCAACCCAGAGCACTGGTCCCTTTCACGTAGCAAATTCAAACGTTATTTCCATACCAGTTTTCACTAGTTCAAATTATCTTAAAGGTCAATCCCTCCATCACTTTTGTATCATTACTAAAAGTTACCTTTAGAAAACAAAATCAAGTGCAAGCCATGAAACAAACACGTTTATATGGTAACTAGTCCTCATAGTAGTATACTGGTATTTAATATACTATTATTCATGCAGTGCCCTTGGTGGGTTCACGAATTCCCAAACCGATGCCTGTTGCACAGCAGCTACATAATGCAGTGCCTTCTGTGAAGCCAGCACCATTTGTTCGTCCTGCTTTCCAGCGCAAACCGACAAACTTCAGCGGCAGCGCCAGGTGAAAGAGTAACTATAAACCCTTCCCTTCCCCAGCGCTCACTGCTGAGTTGCACCACCGCCTCTGCAGTTGTACTGGCTCAGGCATTTGTTTAGTCACAGCAAACCAGTTTTGAGAGCTGATGCAAGTTATATGAGGAGGTGCTGAAGCCAGTACTGCCAGAAAAAAAGGGCAGCATACACTGAACTAATTATACTTGTTTTTATAATTCACCCCTCTCCAGATTAAACTGAAGCCTCAGCCCTTTTGTGCCTCACGTTAACAACTAGTCCAATTTAGAACAGAGAGGGTAGCTCATGCACATTCCTAACAACTCAGCTTTTGAGGACTGTTAAAGAATGGTCATACCCTTAATTCAGATAACAACTATATGTACGGTTTGAGTGATAGTTTTCCCCTCTTTCTTAAAGTACAAGGTAACATACAGCTATTTAAGAAACTTACTCTCCAGTATCATAACACCTTCTCAGACAGAAAAAGAAATCCTAGCCCACATTTCTTCCTTAGTAATTTATGTTCTCATGACTGTTTGCATCCTCTCTCATTTATACACCATTAATAAACTCAGTTAACTGCAGACATCCCACCATGCTGCTTCCACAAAACTAATGGAGACTTTATTCTAAAGTAAAACTTGCGGTTCATCACTACCCTCAAACTTCTCCAGTGCAGTCCATCTTCTTTAGAAATTGCATTAAGGAAGTTTCAAAAAATTACAGATTTTTTGTTTCCAGGCTTTACAAGGAATTATGTATTACTTTTAAAAATTTAGTATTTATCATATTTCAAGTTACTATTCAGTTTTATCCCAAACTATAATACATTACACTTATGCACATACAATATATGAATCCTAGCTGATACTCGGAAGCTGCAAAATCACTGTGCTCCAGAAGGACAGATTTTAACTTTACCTACGAAATACAGGTAGACTGTTTTCTTCAAAGAAATAAAAATGAATAACAACAACAAAATCATTCTGTTTAACGATTACTACCGTAACATCTTCCAAGAGGTAGGCTGAAGAGAACTCCTTAGCCTGACAAGTGAGAAAGTCAGCTTTAGAAGCTAGTTCCCAAGCCATATGCAGTCCTGATACAGGATGAAACACTTCTGAAGGATCTCAGAGAAGACAAAGGATGGGCTCAGAGATGCACAGAAAATGCTGAAAACAAAGCAGCACACTCTAAACACAATGGTAGAACAAACAACTGATGAGCTTTTGCTTTTACCACTGTCTTTTTTGATCCTCATGATACACAGCATTTCTCCCAATATACTGCATTATTTCACTGAGGATCAAACTAGAAATTTAACATGAAGTTCTAGAATTAGCCTAACGTGTAAACAAATGCATCATAAAAAATGAACTTTTAATTAAATTGCTAGTTTTTAATTTTGTTCTGAGAAAGCTAAAATGTTAATCTCAAAATAACAGCAGTGCATAATAATCGATCACACACACACACTCAAAAGCCAAAGACACTAGATATCTTTTTGTTGTATAACTGCTCATTCCAAGGTACAAGGTAAAGACGGAGAATAAGTGTTCCACACACAGAACAACAGAAAAATCAATGGAAAAATCAAGGAGTAAGTGCTCTATTAGTGAGTTCTTGATCATTTAAATAGTGTTTTTTCAAAAACTCTTATGACCTAGCTACCCCCAGTACAATACAATCAACAAAAGAACCTCAAGTCTGCTAGAGTAGAATTGTACCAATACTGCAGTAAGGCAGTAAATCAAGAACAGTGATCAACACAGACTCACATAACATTTGCTATCACTACGTATGGCCATCTTTTTCCATTTTAAGGGCACATTACTGCTACTCCATCTAACACAGCTTGAAACTGCAGTTCAGGACAATTGTGCTAAGAATTAGAGTGAGGAGAATTACCGGAGAACTGAGACAGCTTGTCTGCAGAGATGTGAGATTCACTCCATGAAGAGGAACAAATTCTACATCCAAAAGTGCAGGCATAGGCCACAGCTTATAATTAAACATATTTCAGCCTTATTCCATACTTGAATTAATAATTAAGTAAATAATAAGCATCAAAATGTAGGCCACTGCCTTTTACAGAAAGTCAATCATTAATATAATTTATTCATTCAATATGTTTTCAATGCCTAAACGACTAATGTAGAAAGAGAATCCCAATTTCAGGACGTCCTCATTTACCATTCTTTTCCTCATCTCTTATTTCCTGTGTGAAAGAAGTACACACAACTCCCATGCGCTTCAGAGTGCTGTTCTACAGGCTTTAAACCATTAGTTTAAACCAGAAACATATAAATTA